GGAAAATCGATACTAATTGTTTTTTAACAGGGGTTCATTTGCTCTGATGAACTTCAAATAAAGTTGTCTCCTCCGTGATACACGTGACTAAACTATTTTAATTCCTTTTATTTGTACATCCAACAGTGTCTTCAATGATACTGGCACCATGTCTGTTTGTTGCGTTTATTTAACTCGTTACGTACAGGCATGCAATTAAAACAATCATGTAAATTTGAATCAAGCACTGAAAATGACGCCACACATATTTTCGCTAATTTGGTTTCTTTATTCAATGACCCATTGGGACTTCATGTGCGATTTCAACTAAAGTATCAATGTATCTGCAATTCATTTCTCGCTGTTTATGTTTTTAAAACGAAATTACGGAAATCAACAATTCAAAAACAAAAATGTGAAGTGGGGGCAGCTTTCTGTTGTCAACGCCATTAGCTATTCGTAACGTATTTATAGCAACACCTCATACGCAGCCGTTTGACTTCGAAAATTTATTTCACAGCAACTTAAATCGTGCGAAAGCAAGAAGTAATTACCGGATAATTTTCTAGCTTGAACACGTGTTTCAAAAGATAAATGTAGAAACCAAATAGAAGAAGGCATTTTAACGATTGTTTTATTTTATGACAGAATCATGCATTTTAAGATGACGGTTTACATTGCGAGGTCACGTATTCGTGGCTGTATATTTCCTCTCTGTGTTGCGAATGCATTACTTACAAGGCAGTCTGTACTTCCTTGGGCTAGGTGATGTCCATATTGACGGAATTCCATATCCATCACCAGACTAGTGTCTGCAGCTTATATGGTTAGCCAATAGAGAGCATTGCCATTAGCATACCAGTTCTCACCAGCACACACGTTAGAACAGCCCTGGACATTTGTATCTGGATTGGGCAATATGACGTTGACAATTCTGTCGTAACTATACTATATGAATAAACTAACAATAGCTATTGCTTGTGTTATAATTGTTTGTATAATTAATGAAACGTCTTCACATATATGTATAATAATTATTATAAATTATATGTAATATTACAATATATAAATTGAAAATAAAGGCCTTTATATACCGCCTATTCAAAACGTGAATATGACATCAATTGATATCAACATTGATTTTAGTAAAATGTATCATTGTCAAGATTTTCTCAATTATATCATTTACAAAATCATTATTGATGCATTTAATGCGAAATCTTTATCAAAGAGTTGCTTCCTTAAATTATTTAGATAATCGTTTAATCAATTAAAGTGCGATGCCCACACAATGATCAAAAGGAAAGGACTAAGTAAGTTTTAATAACAACGCTGTGTTGCATTAAAAATAAAAACATAAAGATTTATCAGAGTTCTGCCTGTAAATCGACAGTATCTAGCTTTACTTCCTGCATGTACTAACTCTTTTTTCCTTTTTTTTCAGAGTTTCTACCTTGTAGGTCTCATCCATATGCAAGGTGGATTTTATTGTTGAATAGGCGCACCGTTACCTGTCTCTTGTACTCATGTATAACATTGAAATGATTGGTAAATTGATTCCACTTCTTTTTGCCACAGGCATGCATCCCTGTTGGGCGTTCGGCTTGTTGTAGATATGGCCATTATCCGTTCTGCCACTCAGAAGATTTAATGCGACTGTTGTATGAACGATTAGAATATTTTCTGATAAACCATATAATCACTGATTTCAGCCCCATAATCATTTCAACTCCCGTTTTCTGTTCACACTAATTTATTCCAAACGCATAACAAAAGTAATAAAAGAATCAATCAAAATAAGAAGATTTCTTCACTCGAATGATGTTCGGTATGCATTACTGTAACCGCCATATAACTACTGGTCCTATCGAAGGTCAACGTTTTTCTCCCTAATCCCTCACAGGTGTTCTTAAATACCCCTTTGGTAACAATGTGCAGTATCAATAAAATATCCTGAAACATACTACCGTTTTTTTATCTGTCATCAAATCGATACTATTTTGTTAGAATTTGTAAACATGTGTTGAATTAAGAATGTTCTTGATGCGGTAATTTTGCCCACGTTATGGTGACAATTTCGTCGTTATTTTGTAAAGCAAAAAAGCCGTGATCAGATACTAGAAACAGGCTTAATTCACCTCTTAAGAATATTGGCGTTTACATTAGTGCAGATCATTCGGGCTTATGATCCAGGCTCAGAAACCATTAAACAACTCGTCTATCAATAGACCATCATAAACTTGCAGTGCAAAATTGAAAACTATTTTATTGGTATGTCAAATTGTGTAGCATTTCCTTTGTGCCTATAATCCGAGTTTTACATACCTCATAGTTTAGTCACAGCTGGCGAATTCTTCATCCATGCTACTCCATTCAGGAAAAGGAATAGCGCAGCAACAGACTCTAATGGTTCAGGTTTTGTGATGTTTAAAATTTTCATGTATTTTTTCCAGATATTCTTTTTCTTGCAGACAGTGTATCTGATTCCTTCTTACGTCCTTTTTAAGTCCAACTTACAGTTTTCCATTTATCCTTGTCTTGGTGATCTAGAGATACGTGCTTGTTTCCATTTCTTCTTCTGTGTCTTTTATCAAATCAAAATTTTGCTTCAGATAGAAATTGAAGTATGAATTTACCAAGAAAAGAATGATTTATCTAAATGATATTTATTTATTTTTGTTTATAGAGGTTTTGATCATTTTCTATCATTTGTCCAAAGGGAAAGATAACTATATCTGTTGTATTCGGTAGTTATCGTGTCGGTTCATTGCCCACCATTTCAACTGACTAGACTTGAGATCTCGGACAAACACCTGTCATGATACACAGGCCGGTATTTAATAAGAGACCATAGCCTCGATTATTACTGTCCTATATCTTTTGTAGATTATGAATGACCTTTTTATCGATGTAATAGCTTTTATTAAATATATATAATGTTGGTTCGAATTATTTTTACGTTCTATTTAATGATAAATGCTATCTAGATAACGCACAAGTGAAAACTACTTGCGATTTGGCATTATGGAGCTATAAAGTTCAAGCGAATACGCGCCAAATACCAAATACTAGCAAAACATGCCAAATATAAGACCTTTTAATAAAGATCATGAATGATATTAATTTACTTATCACATATCTTTAATAACTGCTTTTAATAATAAAAACAAGCATCAGCATAGTTTAAACCATACTTGAACCTTGTTTAACAATAATCTTTTCGGAAGAAAGCTTTGAATCTACCCTGATATCTTACAATATACAGATGTAAATACATGTATATTTTATCAGAATCACCTGTGTATGGGCGGGCTACCCATCTACCGAATGGACTGCCGATAAGATATCAGGAATATAGTCAGCGCATATGTGAATATTTATGCGTGCCTTTACATATATCATGTCGATATGTCGTTAACATGAAATACGGACTTTTTATATATACAGTTTTTCGTGTGAACGCTGCAATTGTGTATTGGCAAAGGTTTATTAGAAATATATTTATTAATGCCATCATCGACGCTGCTTGTTATCTGTCCCCCACTTACCACTGATTTCGATTGCTATGTAGTCGCGTGTTATGATTTCATACTAAATACAAGGAGATTGATTAGTAACCAAGTATATTGCTCATTCCTCTATCAGTATCATCAATAAGTCACAAATGATTTCGACATAGAAGAATAACAAAGTTGTAATTCATTTCTATTTCTGACCTTTTTTTACCTGATTTAGTGTCATAGTTATCTTCCAATAAATTATTCATCATTTTTTCTAATGAAAATCATGAGCAATATTTCTAATTCCTTTACTACACGTAATTCTAATCGGACTAATTTATCCGTACTGAATTATTCCTTTTCTTCTTTTTATGTAGTATACAGACTATGCATGTTCTCAGCAAAAACATTGCTTACATGAATCTCTATCCGTATTTCGATTTATGTAGATTTTGATCTTTGAAGGCAACATTTGATACAGAATTATTGTCTTGATTTATAAATATTGAACAATGTCTAGATCGATATGACACATATTGAATTAACAATTACTAATTCGAAACTATGATTATTTTTATAATAAAAGATGAAATTAAAGAACAGATTTCAAGGATATATAACATATTTATTGCAATTAAATTGTCCTTAAAATATAATCAACATTTAAATGCGTAACGTTATAATTTTAGATAGCTTTTCGTTATAAAAAGTCTCTGTTATTTATTTAAATATATTTGTTATAAACAAGTGATCAGTTAGACAAAATGACATTGTATCGAATAATCTGGTGTTAAACCGGAAACTCGCAAATCACGTGATTAATGTGTAGATTATGTTTGTTCATTAACCTACACGGAAACACGAATTCAGAAAAATCAATAACTGCAATTAATTAGTAAATTATGTAATTATGTAATAAAATGCAGCGATAAATATAACAATAGGACTGGATAAACAAAGAAAAATTATAAATAAATGGCAATATATCGTACACCCTTATCAAATCCAAATGTTAAAAGGATGATATTGCAAATTGCAAAGTATATCTGAAAATATGCAAGCAATAGAAAGCAATTAACAGCGATGCCGTTGGCTCCCTCAGATTCATTTAGTGAATATATTTTTATTCCTTAATTGTCGTTTATCTATATATTTACGTATTTCTTTTATATCAAAATGTGTGTATATATAACTATTTGTAGTTAAGTAATGAGGTTATAACGAAGTATTGTAGATTTGGTAGTTTAAAAATTCTGTTAATATTTTTCGTCTTAATTACGTCAGTTTAGTTTTTAATAGTGTGAAATTTTTCTTTTTACTTTATTTTTGTTAATAATTACATTTTAATAATATATTTCGTGAAACCATATGTTCAAAAATATCCAGAAATAACATATTTGTTTGTATAAGACATATATTTCTTTGTTTTTTTTAAAATTTCACATGACCAAACCACAATAATTTGTCTATGAATGCATTAAAATAGTTGAGATTAACTTAAAGAAAAACGAAAAACCATCATCCATTATCAAGCTTTCACATTTAATGTAACATATTATATTTTTAGAATTTACCCGAGTGTTTTACAACATCAATATCTCTAGCTGGTGAAAAGAGTCCGTTTTGAGATCTCAGTATTTTGTCAGGACCGCCAGTGGAGAGGTTTTCCGGCCCTTGTATCCTTGACGTGGAACACATGATTCCTGCCTTTGACGCTGTATGGGACGTAAGTGAATAAGGGTAGGAGAGCGTCGTGTGACTAAAGGACAAAGGGTACGCCCCAAATGCTGCAAATCTACCAGAGCTCAGAGAGTTTTTCGAGGATGGGAGGTAGAAAAATCCAGGACCACCATGCGGTTGGGAGATTGGTTTGGTTATCCGCGGTTCGGATTTAGAAGTGTCACTAGCACTGCTTGTTGAAGAGTTGAGGAATTCTGACACAGACCAAATTTTGGGTCTCGTTTGAGTCTCAGAATCGTTGTCTGATGGGATTGTCTCCGATCTACATTCTGAACCCCTAGGAAGTGTTGGGGATGCCAACTCACTACACCGGGAATCTCCACCTATACTCGGGGCTTGAGAATCATCGTCACTATCGTCTGCGCGCGCACTCTCCCGTCGAGCTGGTGTTCGGACGGGATCTAAATCCTCAATGTCTTTAAAACTCAAATTTGAATCATCATCGCAGTCATCATCCACGTTGATCATTCTTTCTTTAATTTGTGGTTTCCCTTGTTCCGACTCTGCAGTAGAAAATAATTTGTGAAATTAGATATTGTATTTGTAGTGATTACCATCAAGAATGACTTACATCAGGTAATAGTTTATAACATAAACCCTTAAATCCACATTGGTAATTACGTTCAGTAATAACATGTGTCCATTCATTGAATACATCCTGATTTTGTTAAATTTTTTATAATATCGAAGTTTTATAGCTTCAGTTCTGTGCATTTCTTTCGATGATCATTTTGTTTTCATTATTTTCTATTCATGAAGACATCGTGGTTTGATTTTCACTCCTTTGTTACATAATAGTCTATTCTATTTCAACTTTTTGATACATCCTTGCTTATTAGGTAATTTCTTTACCATATTTCGTTTCATTATCATCAATTATATATATATTATATTGATCATTGAAATTTGACAATTTTCCCCTATATTTCAATGTTCGGCCTATAACTAGACGCACCGGAGATTTTCTCATCATTCATTAAAAAGTAAATTATTTAAGTCCTTTCCTATATAACGGTCAATGATTTTATTCTGCACTACAAAGATATGTGTCTGTTTAGCATAATTTATCCAATTAAAATTTTACCTATGTCAGGTTTTATTATTGTCAGTTTTTACTGATTAAAGGAAACTATTCTTAACCCTTCCATAATTGCGGATAATAAAATTTTCAATGCTTGACGATATCTTGATTTTTACTGTCCATTTATTACTATAACGTGGTTGTTCTATTTAATTTTGAATATTTCCTAATTGATAACTTGTTGGCTATGGATTATATTCCGGTATATAAAAACATCTGTTTAATTGGATCCATGTTATACTGAAGTGTGCAATTTGCTTAGAGAAATCTTACCATGCATAGACTATTTCTTACTTCATCACCATTAATATATCACCCAAAAAGGGACCATTTCAAGAATGATTAAAATTATGGAACGCGCAATTAGTTAAAAAGAAAAAAAAACTGAATTTGCTTGCTTATGTTAGAAATGTTAGCAAAAAGAGACGATATGTGTATTTTATTAATTCATTCTGCATTTTAAAATATCTCGAAATTGAGAATATTTCTTTGTTTTGAAATGTTTAATCAGCCGAGTTCTTCTTTGTACCAAATAATTTGTAATTCGAAGTAGGGAAATTAAATGTTTTGTGTGTCTTTGATAATGAGATCTTTTGAAAATCAACGTCTTTTTTTTTAATAATTTATCAAATTGTTGTTTTGGTTCCCAATGTCAATTGATTGTTAATAAATCATAAGATAATTGTTTAATAGCAGGTTCAGTCGCCAACCCGTGTCATTTTGTTCATGAATTGAGGAATAGCATGGGATCAAGGACTCGTGTTCATTACAATAAATCGTGTACACTTCCTATGTATAAACGAAAGTGACGTCGAAATTGAAATGAAAATTGAGAAACAAAAACATTGTGTTGGAGGGAATTGATTACAGCTTAATGTCGATCTTATATGGAGTAAATTACCGGTCCCTGGCAATAGGAGACGGACTGAACGCCGTGCGAGGGATGTCGGCAGGCATATTATTAGCAGTGTCTTCCCCACGGTAAACACTATCAACCGTCAGGCATAAAAAGTGCATTACCCGATTCAATTAAAGCCAAAGATATCATCTACGATTGATTGGAATTATGTTAAGTGGAAATGCGAGGAAGTATGAAAGAGAGAGCTCTAACACGGCAGTGGATGTAAAACAGATTGTAAAAACCCAATATTATCAGCACTATTCACCGCTGTATTGTAAACATTTAATTTTGATGAGGCAAAATCATCCCTTTAGAAAACAATTGTACGTCAGGTCATTGATACAACGGTCGTAACATTAATTTAATACCAAAAGCTGTATTAATTTATCACTCGGATAATTATTGAGCTATTTGGTACAATCACGGCCAGGCTGAGCTGGGAAACACTGGTACTCTAGTGTCCGTCACACAAAGCTCTGTTTGAATATAAAACAGAAAGCCCATCCTCGGATCGTCTTTCATTTACACGACAATTCTTTATGTCGTTGTTGTGCATACAAGAGAAATTGATTGCAGTACTGTTTGCTAGTTTATCACAATAAAATTTCATCTAAAGTGATAAGTAATCCTTTGTTTGTCAATAGCTTTGTTAAAACATATCTCCCTACTCCACAGCTGGTTTACAGTGTCCTCTGCAAGGATCCTATTATAGGGGCTAATGTAGAAAACTATGAAACTCAATTCCTTAATTAAATGCGCTGTATTTGATATTACTAAGCAAATTTGTCCCATAAATGAAAAGTTTTCGTCAAATAATTGTGAAGTTTATCACCGGTTCTACAGAATATAAACAATACTACCATCTGTTTTTATCGAAAGATATTGTTTCTTATTATTTATAGTTCGAATTATTTTTTGTGAAACCTATTCCAGAGAATGAGTATGTACAAGTTTAAACACCTTGATAGAGATTATTTTTTTCTTTATGTAAGAGGAGGCAGAAATAGATTAATACGTTCTATGCGTCATTATGGCATTTATCATAGATGTATGACAGCAAACATGCAGCTTACTAGTGAATAATTTTGATATTTACCTCTTAAATGTGTATCAAATATAAAAGCATGTTATATTCAAGGGATATGTGTATTTGAATTTGAAAGAAAAACATGAGAGGAAATATCAACATGTTAGCAATTCAAACTCAAACTTGATACAAATTAGGACAAAATCTGAAAATTAACTATAAAGAAAATTCCGACGTGTCAACAGTACAGAATTCAAGCTCAACGTCGATGAAACAAAGACAAAATATGAACAATTTACTTGGAAACTTTCGAAAAAATGTTAACTTCGAATAGGACAATATAAACGATAGACTGTATCAGAGAATATTTTCTTCTTTTCCAAGGTGCAATATCTCAGTATCGTCTTAAAGGTGTTATCTTAAAAGACAATATTTCAAAATTTGATCAGTCTTGAATTCTTTTTATATATATTATTTTGTGATCAAAAAGTATTTTTATCATGGTGTTGAAATAAAACAAATACGTTTTTTTTAAACTCTCTAAATTTTCATTATTATTATTATTATTATGATTATTATTATTTTATACGATCAATGACACTAAATCTTGCAACTGGATGAATCACTGAAAATACCCAGTCGAGTGAAAATCTATTGTGTATCAAATCTCTCTCGTTATCAGTGTACATCTTCGTATATTAGATAATCATTTCCTTTTGTATCAGATGTTACAAGAGGTAATTATAAGTTGCTAGAAATTAACGAAATTACCCAATCTCCAGCGACCTCCAAATTTCTTTCAAGATTAGCTCCATGCACGTGCATGTTTTTAAATTTGCATTACTGAATGCACGCACGTGTCACGGAAGTCGCATCTGGATAGTTTGCTCATCCTGTTTGCAAAAGGAACAACTACCATGATAGAACGCTTCCACATGTGAAACACATTTCCATAATTCTAGTTAGCGGGCAAATCTGAGCGGGAAGTGATATCAATGTAATTATTTGTAAATCACCCATAAATAAGAAAATAGCTTCACGACTTTTCGGAATCAATTATTTATTGACGAATGGCTCAGAATATTCTGTCGTGTTTTTTTTCTCGCTTTTCTGATGCTAATTTAACAATGAGGATTGATAAAATAATAGTTTTGTTAGTAGACGTTTTGCTGTCGTATGGCATACCCGATTTGACACCTCACGAACCTGTTCAGTAACAAATGGAGCGGTTGAGTAGTAAAGACTACAGCGGCCATAAGTGTCAGATGGAACAAATTGTTGTATACATTTGTGTGTAGCTAGATCTGTCACTAGAAATCATGAGATAACAACTAATTTGGAGATCCACTGCACACCAATGGGACGCGGCGATGCAGAAAATAGAAAGGTATTAAATTTGTCCGGGACTTGGAATTCTCCAGCACGCAGCGTGACACGCTTGCATACCGGAACGGGGCACATATATCTGGGGACGTGGACTTGGGTATGGCATGGTGACGCTTCTCCCCTCCTCATACAAATAACGAGAAGAACAGATGACTGACATGTCCGATAGCAAGAAGGGACTGAAACTTCACTAACTCGATCCAATGGGATTTAGAAATAATTTCCTGGCTCAAAATGATGATTAACTTAAAACAATGTAGTGAGTTCTCACGAAGTGACTATCAGGTTATCGAGACGTGTCGGGATCCTGTTCATAAGGGATATGATTCAGAGGAGTCGAATCAGCCGGCTTACAACAAATTTCACAGTCTGTCTTTTACTTAAACCATTAATCTATGACTATGACATGCAACATCGCGTTTCTGAGTTTGTAACGACCGGTTTTAATTCACTTGTGATTTTTTCGAAAAATAAGATAACATTCTTTAATCTTCAGAATCCTCAAGTTTTATCTCTAGGCAGGACATTTGGAACATCTCCTTCTACATAATGCATTGTGGAACCGAGAAACACGAATTCTAACATGTTACAAAGTAACAAATACAACAACACCAAGACATTCTTCTTTATAAAAATGAGAGAATAAAAAGATCAGCCTGACGTCAAAATTTTTCACGATAAAGAAATAACCCCTTTTATTTGTTGAATTATGTAATCTATAGTTAGTTTTTTTCTATCATTTTAGGTCATTTGTATTGAATTTTTCTCTTGTCTGGGTCTAAACACTTGTTAGTATTGTTGTTTATGGTATTGGCGCTGCTGAATGATGCGAAGTGTATGTACTGGAACTAATATCTCTAGTCCTATATAGAGAGGACGAGGAGACAGGAGGCCAAGGACCTCGCATGCCAGACAGACATACCGTCTAAACATCAACTAAAGACTAGCATCTCGTGTACTGGTATACAAAACACATGTTCCTCGGCAAATTACACAACTCTCATTTACTTAGATCTCAGCCAGACATTCTAGTCATATATCTTTTCGTAGTAGTTATCGATATACCAGGAAATAAAGAACCCTGGGTCAATTTAACCAGTTTAGCAGTATGGAAAAACGCATTCGATTTTTATTTTCGAGATAACTAAACTACTGAATTTGTATGTAGATATATGAACTAATGTTAGGATAGGAAAATACCTTTGTTTAAAAAAAAATAACGGTTAGTCTATATGTTTAAAGCATTAAATGAACATTAAATGAAAAACGTATGTTATTCTTAACATTAAAGTTACGATGTTTATTTGGAAAATAACATACAAAACAATGTTATTTATGACTGGATTCATGTGGATTCAAATTGAAACACTGATAATTTCTACTTTTATACGTTACACATACGGAAGACTGTTTTTTATGTAAACATTCACACAGGTAGACGTGTTGCGGTAATTAAACAGGTGATTGTACCTGTTGCTAAGATGATATGTGACAAGTGTGTCTTGCTAACACTTGTTCTGTGTTTAAGAGTCTGTGTTGTGTGCTGAGATGTCGTTTGTCAGGCGGACATGGTTACCTTACAGCTATAGTAATGTCAGGCTACATTTATTAATCTAACACCAAAATCTCGGCTTTATTTCTACTTTGGCCCCCAGCGTTTCTTGTTGGCCGGCTTCCTTAACGAGATATGAAAATCTATGTTTTTATGCTTTATCTAACATTAGCCTTGGGCAACTCGGGCTGTTTTTCCACTGTATTAAGGACATGATCTGACGTTTAGTTTTATCATTAGGTCTCAATTCACTTTTAAATAAGCGTATCGTGTATGGTATCTCAGGTTTGTCTCTATTTAAGTATATCTCCTCTTTTATCTGCACACACCTTTACAGAGCTCTTTCAAACTTTGACAGGCATATAGTTTACACATTGTGTTCACAATAACTAACATTGTCAGGTTTGCCCTACTGATCATAATTCTATTATGTTCTATCGATAAATTATAGAATTATTATCAATGTACACAATACCTGTGTATGATAATTTGATAGCAGTTGAATAAACTTTACCTTAATAAATCATGTGTATATATTTACGAATTAAACATAAAATACATCCTCATATATTGAAAACAGAATATCAAAACTCGTATTTAAACATAGATTATACATTTTTCATAACTATAAACATAATAATACATTTTTATAATAATTATGATTGTGTCCTATCATAAAAGTAACAGATACAATACTTATAAACAACATCATTATTTACTTTCCCTTTTTTCAATTCCCTATGAATTTAATATAATTGAATTAATGTTTCCATTACGTATCATTACAGTTGATCCAGAATGAGAAGGTATGTATATATATATATATATATATATATATATATGTATATAAAGCACTGTAGTTTATATGCATATCAGTGAGCGGGAAGGTCCCGTTATTCCTACAGACAGTCTATCACACCTTGTAGCCGAGGTATTTGGTGTGCTGATTTATTACACAATATTTACACATGATTGATATAGTGGAAAAGTTAAGACTGATGACTACTTATGAATAACTTTTCGCGTCCACTTTATACGAATACTTGTATGTTAATTAAATGTTGTTTACGTTTATATATTCTTCAAAATCAATAATTAGCAATTTATTGTCAAAATAAGTTGGCTATAAATCTTAAAAATATGCTTATTTGTGTCATGAATGTTTATCGAAATGCTTTTAGAAAGTATCAAAAAATGGTATTGTCTCGTTACATTGTGTGTATATCTCTTACATATGTACAACAAAGTATAGAGAAATTCTGTATTGTTAATTTTTTTTTCATTTCTTGAACTAGATAAAACACTAAGGCTTTACAAACACATCTCAGTTGTTACCTAGTCCTTTGATTTTGTCTTCTCCATTATAACAAAGACTTTTAGAAGATCAAAAGAAACCGAAAAGAGAAAATTTTAATACACATGAATATAATTTCAATGGATATTCTTAAGATAATTTAAAATCTGATTTGATAGCAGCTGTTTCTTTGAAATCAACATCGCAGTGAAAGTTTCCGATTAAAGTAATATCGATCGATCATCTTAATAATAGACAAACAACTTAAGAGGATATTTTTTATCTATGAATGGCTTGGCATATCGAAAGTTTTATCCATGTTGTAATATATGAAAATGTTTGAACAATATTTCATTTATTCAAAATATACAACACAGAGAAAATTCAGAAAGAAGAACGTTCATACTTATATTTATCTGTTTTTTTTTTATACAATAAACTTGCAGGTGAGTGATTTGACAGATGTGTGATACAGATTTGCCTTCATGGAAAATATTTCCATTCTAATATGTGAATTTAAATTGTGTTTCTGTGGTCAATAAATTCAGGTTATGTATTAATTTATAAAAAATCAATGTATTATGCGAGTTTTAATCCATACGATTTCATTGTAAAGAGGAGTATTTCATACGAATATTTAATGCGATCGAAACCTGTTTGCTCTCATTTAAATAAATTATACAGTACTTCCGTGAAAGTTTTGCAAAAAAAAATAATGCATAAATAGGTCTGTATACACGGAAAAAATGCTACACATCAAAACATGTTTTTATAACGTAAGATATAGAATTACAAAAAAATATATTTGCTGACAGTAATTCATTTTTAAGGTTCTCTTTGGTTTTAGTACCTGGGTATTTTAACATAGCTGGTCTTACATAACATCGAGGATATGCCATATGTATGTTGACATATATGTATATCTAGTATGTATGTTTACTATCAACTGGGGGACCTAATACACACCATGATTGATAAATATAATATAAAAAAGCATGTTTTAAAAGTTGTTGATTTACAGTGTGTATGTCATTTACTAGAGATTGCTGTTAAAGAGAACTAACCTGATGAATCTAAGTTCGGTTTTGTTCCGAGGTCTAACGGTCCCTCACTAGAACTCCCGTTGCACGACAAGTCCAAATCATCATCGTCGTCATCTTTGTTGTCACAATCATCATCGTTATCGTCGTTTTCTGTACCATCCTCTGATCTGTTACGTGGTGACCATGTCATTTTATTTTCCTTTTTAAGTCTTCTTCTTGCATTAGCGAACCACGTTGATACCTGTGTTAGTGTCATTTTTGTAATAATGGCTAACATTATTTTTTCACCTTTTGTTGGGTATGGATTTTTTCTATGTTCATATAACCAGGCCTTTAGAGTATTTGTTGTCTCACGCGTGGCATTTTTTCTTCTTGCGTTTAAATCTATACCACCATATCTGCAAGAAAAACATGAAATATTACAAATAACAAATTCCACACAGATAACACAGTGTTGATTTAATTTTGTTTACACATATCTATATATAATATTATGTATGTATATATTAATCCACCATGCCTTTTGTAAATAAATAACATTTGAATAAAATGTATGAATTTCCTATTAAAATCTCATGATTGCATATATTGTTATTTGATTACCATAGTTATTGACTAGTGTTTTGATACAAAATGGCGTGTGTATTTCAACCAGACAATACCCGTGTAATTATAAGCTACATTTAGAATCTGTCATATATTCGATGTGTGTTTGGTATCTTTAGCCAGACCTAACACCCAATAAATGGAACGTGTTTAGATTGATTTGAAGTAAATTAGTTTGCATGAATAGCTATCGCGCCCTGACTTTCACTTCCAATATTAAAGCTCTAAGCATCAGGCTTTTGATAGCCTCTCAAGACCGACCATCCGTGAGTAACGAGCGTCTAAACACGAGAATACGGTTACAGTAATAAGATCACAAATGGCCATTGCTGAATACAGAAAGTGAGAATACAAACATTCGACTAAACTGATATCAAATTGAATTTAACCACTGAAAAAACTAGCATAGAATTGTACAAACGGGAATACGAATAATGATGTATTGAAACGGAATGTGTTTTCTTCAAGGGACCGCACAAATAGTTAAACGCTACGCGATGTCTGTGTAATGGTAGCCCACCCCACTACCCCATGCCAAGGGAAGGACATTTCGGGTGCAACTCGTCGTCTTTAGGTAAAACTTACCCTGTGCCGTATGGATATACTGCCACTGCCGGATCATATGGAAAGCATGCCCCGGGCTGGGTGAGGCTTCTCCACGCCTCAGCTCCGTCTTTAGTGTCAAATGCTCCTCCGGTCTAAATATTTGTGAAAGAAAAAAATGCCAGTTTAAATACTAGGAAATAGAAGAGAGATGAGATGAAGCATGTTTTTGGTGTAGATTTCAGTGTATGTTGACAAAAATGTATCATAATTATCAAAAGTAATGTTATCGTAAAGTAGTTATAATGGTATGGTGTTTTATCAAAGAGAATTTTTTTAACCGAGTTGAATTAAATATAGAGGGTAACAAGCTATGAAGTACATTCCGGTTCACAGCACAAGGGGTAGATGGAGATATGCGTGTATATATTATCATTATCTGTCATTTGCTTAATACAAATCCTTTTTTAATATGTAATATAATATATGTTGAGGTACTAGGTCCATTTCCAACCCTTCCCGTCCCTCTGTTTCAGGGTGGTAAAGTCGTTTCAAACCAGTGTTGACAACCCGAGTACGGATGTACATGTACATGTGAGTAAGCGGGTTGGTGACACGAATTGTCTACCGCAGACATAGTTTACCCCCATTGTCATTACCTTTGTCATCTAACTCACAAGACAATCGTTCGTCAATACCGTGTCACAATACACAACTCAATGGCGGTGTGGCACTGATTTATGTCATCTAACATAGGTGATTAGGTTAAAACATAATGTTCTATCAGCTCGGTTGTTTTTTTACATACAATTTACTTAAATGATACGTTAAAGATTTGTCATTACAGATATATCCCATGATCGACATGTGATCTATTCCGGGTTTTGTTAATTTCTATTTGGTATTTTATTTTGTAAACGGTTAACCTGCCATACACACCTGATGAATCATTGTGTGTCAAAAAATGACTTAATATGTACTGTAAATAATAATAATTTTTCGTCCATATCTTATATCAAAATTATAGATGTAATCGAATAAATCTGATTTTGTATAAAATCTGTTAGCAATATAAACACAAATTGTTTTTTAATTGTATCAGATAATTTAAAAGAATGCCGAAACACAATTTTTCATTGTCAAGTAACATAAAATCATTACTATCTATAATGCATGCAGAGTTAAAAGACTCTTTACCTATAAATATGCAAGTTTATCAAATAATATTATAAATATGCAAGTTTATCAAATAATATTATAAATATGAATGTTTATTAATAATTATTATAAATATGAACGATTATCGAATTTAGGTATGTTACAAAATGTGTACATACAATAATGTAGATTTTCCTTTGTCCAGTAAATAAACAAGTGATTTAGGTATGTTTGTAAAATTAATTTAAAGGAATTGTTTTCATCAATCATCGTGAAAGTATCACTGAAAATTACTTTATATTCTTTGAATAAAACCAAAAATTTGTAAGTTTTAATAAGAACGCATTATAGTGGCGACATATGTTTTGTGTCAAAGTATATGATGATAGTATTTCAAACAAGACATAAAAAATTATAGATCAAATATATATCAAAGATAACGAGATATTAAGATATTTTTAGAACATTTCTATTGTTATCATTGATCATTTCGTATTTGTAAATGGTATTGGAATAAAAAAAAATAAAAATAATAATGTTTATTCATATCATTAAGATATCAATAAGAATAATTTAATACTTACCAATGGTGAATAGAAAGCAGAGCTCTCCGATCCCAGGGGCATATAGCCCTGGGCGGGTCCATATGGTGGACTTCCGTACACCCCGTCCGCGATACCCGGTACCCGGGAGTAGCTGAGGAGGGTAGAACTGTACTGACACGAGCATATTGTTTGACCGGTGTGTGGGTCAGTCATAATAGGGCGACCATTTTCACAACAGCCCCGGGGGCCGGCCGCAGACGATCCTGGACCCGGCATCTGGGAGAAGTGAAATGACAGGTCACATTTCTCTCACACAAGTTAATGACAATAGCACACATACTCTACGCCTTAAGAGATGCTGAAGCAAGCTCAAATATTTCTTCAACGAATACTTGGCAATTTTTCACACCAGGCTGTGTTATCATTGTCAGATTATACGTGTATACACAAACTTAAACATTATTGAAACTTTTTTGTCAAGAATACTTAAACAGCTGTGTTATACTTCAAGCAGTTACACCAATTAGACTATATAGAAAAACAAAGACCATGCTAGGCATTACTATGTATAGACGAATAGGTAATACCATTACTTATATATTGCAACTATTCTGAAACGTAAGACGAGAGAGAAAGTGTATGACGATATTACCGGTGAGGTTGAGACGGACGAAGGACCAGGAAACGGGTATGGAGCGAACTGGGGTAAGGACATGGTCCGGTGACTGGCCCTGTGTCTGTCCTCTGTCCGCAGTCAGGTCCGGAGGTCACTGATTATCCAAACGTTAAGAAAGTCCACTTTGTACCGTGCTGGTTCACACTTTTATCACTTAACGGAATCCCAAGTACATCAAGCCAACGCTACCATTTTACTGGGTTAAACACGCTACATATTCTTACATGGGACAAAAGCCTAAACATTAATACAAAATGAATTAGTTGATACTAACCATGTTGTAAACACTACCACCTACCGTCCCGACAAAGCCCTTGGCTCGACCGCGCCCGCTGATTGGCTGATGCCGGCTGATGTATGGCTCAGTTCGCGCCTAGGCTGACAGACGCCCTGCCCCTAACTGATGTCGGATATCAAATCAGACACTTGCTCCGCCTTCAATTTGTAGACACATGTGTTCCAATGAGGATAAAATGTAAACAGGCACACTACCTGGTCCACCGACACGATTACCCGACAGATAATGCCTACCTAGAGTAAGGCAAAGGACACTGGTACAAAAACCATTAAAGATCAACTTCTTTAACATTGTCCTACTGCACCTCAAACAAGCTTTTTTATATAAATTGTATATAATCAGTTTTTAGGTGACGTCTTTTTCTCGCCGTGTAAAATGGTCTTTCGATGGAATTTGAACAACAATACCTAAACAATATGTTGACGTACGGAGTATCACGTAAGCAAACCGTTCTCCAGATCTACAACAAACCCACAACAAAAATGAGCAATGAAATTAATGAGAGTTTAAAAAGGAATGCATCAAACGAATATCGTGATTAGCAAACAAATGAAATTATCACATTTCTGTTTTTTTCCTTTCTCAAGTTGTTTTATTGCACAAAAATGCAACATTCTGACTCACAAGAAACTGAAAAAGGTATTTAATTAGTATATTAGTGACAAACGTTAACTTAAACACAATGTATCATATTTTACTGGTTCATTCACCTAAATACCCATACTAATTTTACCTCTTTAGTATCTTTGGAAAAATTCATTTATGGGAAAGTATTGAATAAACATATGATATATTATGTTATTAATAGAGTGAAAATTGCTATTGAAAAATGTTTTAATTCGTTTGTTATCAAATTAAAATAATACAATTTCTTAATTTACATAGCATATATTTATGTAAGAACAGTACGTAGGAAGAAAAAAATGTCCTGATTTAAAAGAAAAATTGTAGATTAAGATATGATTTCTATCACTGCTTATGAATTAATAGTAACAGCGATTGGATCTTGCATAAATATGTTTATTCCACTGTTTACGTTAATACCACAAATACAATAGTAGTAGGGCGGCATTGTTTACAATCTCTATTGGTAAATAAACAAATGTCAAGATTTGTGAAGCACTGCTATTGTCAAATACCGTGCACATGTCGATTTACGGATGGAAATGACGTAGGAGTAATCATATTATCAATGTCAGTCACACCGTTTATAAAATGTGGAGGGCAATGATTCTACTAGCACGCCAGTTATCTAATAAATTAATAACCCTTCTGATCAATTGATTTAAAAGATACCAGACTTAGTGATTAGACTGGTATCTTCCAGATCATTTGATATCGATAAATAATCCTCAATGTGTTGTGGAGAAGTAAACGATTCTAATTCTTTTTGCAGGTCATCTCTGTATGGCAGGGTCACCCGAGACAACACAACCTGACCAATATCAAAAATATCCATCTGAGTAACAATAACCCAAGCTTTATCATCAAGATCACCTGACGCATGACGACCTGCCGAGTAACTGTTCAATAATAATCTCCGTATTTACAGCAATTACTTAAATGAGGTGATCGTTCTTCATTATCGTGCTTATTAAACACTTCAATCTAGTCGATCAGATCAGTTTTCTGTAGATTTTATCATTGACGTTAATATTTTAATACCTTATATTACAACCTATTAATTGATAGTAGTAAATAGCATTGATGTTTTGTTTCACTTTCTAAGTATTTATTTACATCATTCAGGAATAACTTGAAGCATGCCATGATGCACATTTCTTGTATGTTCGTTTCAAATCTAATATGAAATGGACATCTTTATGCACCATTTATTGCATTCATTTACATAATTGACCCGAATGCCATAAACTGCTATCTCTATATTAATAACAACATGGAATGAAAAAAAAATAAAAGGATTACAGTTTCCCTTTTGATATCCAGACACAAAAACATCATACAATTTTCATGCAAAATTACAAATCTCATAACCATGTTTACATAATTATTATTACAAACATCAAAGAGATGTGTAGCATTTGCCTTTAGATTTGCATACAATAACTGGAAAGTGATACCAAAATTATAAACAATATTTATAATGATATTTCCATCGAGACAGCCTGGAGTAAAGTTTAAGACAATCTTGATATATTTTAGTTGACGAAGAAAACATATTCTGCAGCATGTATTTTGCCTTATTGTTTATCGTATTTCAGTATACATAAATAGATTTAAATACATCACCAATCCATCTCTTGTATTGTTGTAACATTTCATGATTTTCTTCCTAACAATATAAATTAATACCTTGAAAATAATTTTTAAAAACGATTATGTGGAACACGGTAAATTTATGTTTATTTTGTTCTTTCATTAAGAAGTTAGTTAAGGAATAAACATTGAAATAATCTTTGTAATTTTCAATCACGTCACACTCTACATGAGCATTTCACAAGTACAATTAAAATTTTTAATATTCACGTGTTTCTACTCCACAGTTATGTATAAATGATGTGTCTGTGGATCAGATTCTGTATTATGGGAGGAATCTCTCTGATCGTAACTCTTCATCTATTGATTAAACCGGAGGGCTATTGAACTCAGCAAATGTAACAGATTTTATCATTTCGCTGAATCTCGACGCAAAGTTAATTATTTGTATAGCTGTGATAACGTAATTAATTTCAACATAGTTAGAGGTTAATATTGATAGTGTATTTGTTACGTGAAGTCTAGTTATAAATCCTGCACATATTTGTAAATAGAGATACCAGTTAGAGGTTAAGGTGTATATCAATATTCCATCTATTTTACATATTATATGGAATAAATTAAAATAAAATGAAAATGTACATTACATGTTAGAAAAATAAAACACTTTATTCACGGCGTGGTTCATCATCATAGTGACTCTGAATTTCATCTAAGTGATTTTGTAAACATAGAGTAAGTACATGGAACCAGGAAACACAACAACAGGATTTCTCTTACTAAACTAAAAAATATATGATATTACTGTAATAGCTAACAAAATTAATATTGATAATGCCGAAAGCCATACCAGCACATTATTACTTCGACAGATTCACTTAAAGATCAATATAATTTTTTTAACCACATGTTTAATATAATATGAGTGAAACATTAGTTAAAACTCACTTAACTCTATAAAGCTTAAGTTTTTCATTTACTTTAGATCTTCCTGGATTTTAAAGACAAATGCAGAATTAGAATGGTCAGATTCGCCGTGGTAAAGATATAGTGGTGTGTTCTATCAATGTGTTTTCCATGGCCAATTCCAGATCTGTCTCGGTGGAAATCTGTTCTTGCCCAAGCACGTGCTGACAGCTTCATCTGTCCAATATTTTGACTGCCAATGTCGTTAGCGGCCCTACATCATGGTATAAGCGGCCCTCCATGTGTTCATTCGTCTTGACAAGCGAAAGCGACACAGGATGTTAAAGAAATGAATTGAAGGCAATGATATGCTAGAAAAACAGGTGCTTTCTGCGATAAGTAAATTAACAAGGCTTTCAACCCATGACATTTCCGATATTTTGTAGGGTATTCTAATAGCATCGAAAAGAACAACTCGGACAGAAGCTGGAAACGGAATATAGCAGATGCGCTACATCTCAATTTAACCATTACTGAAAGGGTTAGAAAAAACAGAGATTTTTTTAAAACTATGATTTATTTTATCAAGATAAAAGACGTCCAATATAAAAACAATGTTCATGTTTGTGTTGTTACCTGTAAAACTAGTTTAGCTACGGCAGAATAAAAATGCTATTATCGGTAACGTTTGAGATTTTTTTAGCCTTCCATCATCCGCAAAAAAGAATAGCAATAGTTTTATTTTAAACAGTACACTGTAAAATTAGCACACGCCTGATACTCCATCATCAATGGTAATGTTTAGTAAAATTGTCATTTTGCAAAAATTTATCGTTTTGTTTATATCATAATTGTTTATGGTTGTGTACTAAATTTCACAGTAACATGCTGTAAATTAGGTTTTATTTTTATCAAAACCATATATGCCTCAATATATTATAATAGAAAACAGTATGAGAAAATTTTCATTACCCTCGTTTAATGCATTTTGAAACAAACATATTCCCCAAGCTCAAATAAAGAGCTAATAGATGCTGATACCCACAAGATAACTTACAATAAATTAATTAAAAGAGAAAATGACAAATTTAGCTCCGAAACTGAAAATGAAGTTTGTTTGAAGTTTTTTACAAAAACTTGAATTCATTCAGTTATACACCTTGTTACTGTGTATTGATGTGTGTGAGGCTTCATACAACGACATACTTATATAATTACATGTCAGCGATAATTATGGGTTACCAGAGTGAGCATGTGGAATTTAATGTGGTTAGGATCGTCACTGTATATCAGATAATTGAAATAGAAAACAGACAGAAAGAACATTTGATAAAACTGGTACTGATGCTGTAGCAACAGAAACAACAACAGACATTAAGTCCGTGAGGCAATATTTCAAACAACTGTAGAGGGATACTGATGATACATCAGCCGAGGTGAGAGAGGATATTAAAACAGATTTCACTGTAATGGAACGTTTGTATAGTGTAGTCCCGGGGGAGCCGAAGGCAGGAGTGGTTGATTGCTATAATATCATTACGAACACAGTAGTGATGCATGCATGAACACAAGGAATATCACTGCACGAACCCTCCTATAGTAAAATTACAGATAGTGAAATGGAACTTACCATCTTAAAGCTTTTATCATCTGCAATGAAAGAATGAAAATGTAATTCTGTTAGGACACCAATAAAATATATATCATATAATTATGGAGGCTATGATTATAATAAAAAACGACATGATAAGAATGACGAACGTATGTTAAATAAGAGTGTTTTATTGTAGATCGTAAACGTGATCTCTGTGAGGTTCAAGGATTATCCAACAAACGGATCGCAACAGAGAATGATATACCTTATAATTGACCTCACTTTTGGTGAATTCCTTTGGCTGCAGTTATCAGATTCAGATATGTTGATATTTGTCATGGGATGGAAATTTTCATGAGTTTTGACTTAACCTTCTCCGATTTCGATTTGCTAATTTGACTGTCAATTTGCAGAACATTTCCTGAATATTCAAGCCAAATATTCAGTATAAAAAAATGCACGATGGTTCTAAGCAATATGACTTGATTTCACAATTGTTTTGAAAATATATCTAGGACACACCCATAAGTGTTATTGTGGAATTACAATTTACATGCTTA